TTAGTTAGTTAGTTAGTTAGTTAGTTAGTTAGTTAGTTAGTTAGTTAGTTAGTTAATGTTTTAAAAAGAATCTCCTTCCTAGCCTAGGATTTACCAATTAAGTTAGGCTGGCTGGCTAGGAAGCCCCCAAAAGTCACCTGTCTTCACCTCCCCACAGACATGAAATTACATGCCCATGTCACTGAACCAGTTTGTTTGTTTGTTTGTGTTTTTAAACAGAGATTCAAATCAGGCATTCATGCTTGCAAGGCTAACACTCCATCAACCGTGTCCTCCCCTCAGAGCCTCAGAACTGCTTCCAATCAATGAAATCATGACTCAGACCCAACACTAGCAGTATCTATGCTGTATCTGTTTATCAGTTACTTATTGATTAGAGACAAAGTGCCAGTCACCTTATTTTCTCCTCTCAGAGCTATTAATTATATGCACTTAAAATTCTTATGCTGTCCCCCTATTTCTCCCTCCCTCTTTGGGGTCCTGCCCCCCTCCCCTCACTGGCAAGAGCAGTACTGCTGAGCCACACCTTCAGCTGCCCTCCTGGGACGTCTGCTTTCTCTGGACAGTTGCCTTCTTGTCTTGCATTGGCTCCCAAGTTTTGCCCTGGCAGGAGGAAGGAAGGAAGACTTGCTTGTGCTTTCCAGGCTGGGTCAGGTTTGGGAACAAGTCTAGCTCGGAGGTGAACCATTCTTGTTGCATTCTTGCTCACCTGTCTTTCTTCTTCCTCTTTTGGACATTCTCTGTCCTCCAGGGCATCTTCCAGGATTTCTATCCCCAGAAGACTCAGACGGGGACAGAGGAGGAAGACACTCAGACTCCTGGCAGCCTTTCACCTTCCTCTTGCTGCGCTCTGTGCTCCAGCCTGTGCTGGTGCTGGCCCTAAGTTACCTCTTGACCCTAGCATGCCAAAGTAAGAACAGATGGAAGGAAAGAGCCAAGAGGCTCTGGCTGTTTACATCTGCCATGTTAGCCTCCTTCCCAACCACGCCCGCCATGTTAGCTTCTGAGCTAGGCTCTGAGGTTCTCCAGCTTCAACCTCACACCCCTCTGCGGTTTCTTTATCCAAGGGAATGAACATCCTGTGCTAGTTTCCTTTTTAAAAAATTTTAGATGAATTTTTGGTTGTGAGCCTAGCCCTTGAATGACTGAGCCACCTCTCTAGCCCCTAAATAAAATACTTAAGTTGACATATTAAATAACGGTTTCATCGTACATTTTCAGATGTATGCAGCACTACACTTTGTCCTGAAGGTAGCTGAGCCACACCCCCAAGCCCCCCTCAATCAGTGCCCATTTGCTTTTAGAGAAAACAAAATCAATGGGAAAGGGTTTGGGGGTGTGGCTCAGCTACCTTCAGGATGCCCTATGTTTAATCCATAGCACCAAAAAGAAAATAGGAGACAAGGGAAACAGAATAAGTAAATGCACATAATTAATAGGCACCCCCCAAAAAGACAGAAATGTCTATAACAAAGCTATTAGAAATCTTAGACATTTAATACACAAAACAAAGTCTTTAAGAAAACCTTACCTGGACATAATTGATATAATGATCAGAACTGATACAGATGAAGATAGATGCAGTGAACTGGAAAATCAAGCTGGGCACATTCAAAGAAAGCATCAAGAAAGAAAGGGATAAGAGAAAGGTTAAATGGCATTGAAGCAAAATGAGCACTGTCAGTGCATGGAATTCCCAGACAAGAGACAAAGCCAAACAGGGAGAAAATTAGTTAAAGAAATTGCATTATCTGTTTCTGGAAACACCTTTTCCCTTCAAAGAGACTGATCTTTTTTGAGACTTTGCAAACAAGTCAGTAATTTGCCTTGAGTTCATTTTAGACTATATTCTTAACCTGCTGTCCTACTGTGTGCTCGGCCTGTTTAAGTTTAACCTGCCTGTAAAAGAACAATGTAAACAGTTTTACTATGCCTTGCACTTCCC